TTTTTTTTGCAACTAGTTATACTTATTTTTGTCAATATAAAGAAAGTGATTGTTACATATCTTCCAAAAGGTGTTGGTGGTAACCCAGTCTTATCTAGCTACAACTAAACATAGGTCTTGGTATACCCCTTTCAGTAGAATCTTTCTAGAGGAAAAAAAAACCTGTCAGTTTACCGAGAAGCACCCTAGAATCACTAGTTTTACTATTAAAAAAACTTTTGGTATATTGCGATTGCACTCATGAATAGAACTACGGACAAGTATCATCTTATCAAAGTCAACGTCTGGCAAATTAAAGGAATTATGAATGGATAAATGAACTTTAAGAGGGTAACACAAGACAAATATAATTTAAAAATACTTATAACACACTAAGTGGTCCTTGATTATTTCTAGAGGCGTTCAGTAGATTCACAAAGTTATTATCTTATACCTACAGGCAACCATGCTGTTTCTGTCGGTGACTTCATCTTTTGTAAACAGATTATTTCGACAGTTTGGTTTTGTTGTGCTGTAGGCGTTTTGGAGATTTTCTATTTTTTATTTCAATTATTAAAGGCTTATTTTATGATGGCTGGGCAAGCTGTATCCCTTGGGAATTGTTTTAGCTTATTAGTAGTCAATGCATGAACATTTTTTTCTTTTTTTGAAGCTTGAAGTTTTTTTTTTAGGAAGTGTTTGGGAAAACACTTTTCCCAACAAATCCTTATAAATATCTAATATTTAATGTCGCTTCTCCTATAGTCAACACTTTCTCCTTCGTTCTAACATCAAGGTGTTCTTTTCTTTTCTGGTTTAAAAGAAACAAATGCACAAAGGACCGGTGGTTTTTAATGGTTTAATTCATTTCTTTTCCTTTCTTTTCTTACCTTAATATAACTCTTCTAAAGTTTCAAATCTCAGTCTTATTAGCCATTCCAAGGTTGAGGAAACAACTGGGTCGAGTTGGCATTGCAGTGAATTGTGGGACTATTTGAGGAGACGGAATAGACATCCATATTACAAATAAATTAGCCCCACAATGCACTGCAATGCCAACTCGACCCAGTTGCTTCCTCGACATTGGAATGGCTAATACGGCCTACTATTAGATACTATTATTTAACGGTGTATACTTTTTATTCCCTATTTTGCAGAGACAGTACAAAGATTATCATTATCTTTTGCCTTCTTTCAGTGAAGAAAGCACGGTGTTGCTGAGAATTCTCACCATCTTAGGCGTCAATACGTTTGGTGTAATGAGTCGCGATGGGGATCAAGAAAGCTTAATAGCTGCATCTCATCTCAAAAATGAATCAGATAAATCATATTTAAAACCTTTTATTTTCAATCTAAGAGAGMCAAACGAAAAACACTTCAAAGTAGAAGTGATAAAAGAGCTCGTTAAATTGGAGCTCCATCCCATTAAGGTTATCGTCTGTGTATGCGACGATAGAGCCATTAAAACAATCTTGGAAGTAGCGAGAGATCTTGGGTTTCTGTCTGAGAACTACCTTTGGATTTTCACTGAAAGAATAGTAAAACACTTTCACCATATAGCCAGTAACTTGCTTCCCCAAAGAATGATCGGCATACGACTCAACGTGACGGAAGATGTCATAGGTAAGTCAATATTTGGTTAAATTAAAGTCAAATAAGCTTGTTTGCCCATGATCTGACTTGTAACGTCAATGAATAAATTGTTTTTATTGTTCAGTTAATTCTATTTACAGCTTTATCTTCAAATTGGAAAGTATTTTGAATAAAAATTAAAGGCGTTCAATCTCAAAAGTGCCCCTAAAGTGTTATGTCTAAATACCTTCCTCCCTCCGATTGTGGATGCAATGACGAAACAAGTCTACCCTCTATAGGATGTACAAGGCACGATCAAAAAAATGAACAAATAAATAAACGACCTCGCCACTGATTATGCAAAACGAAACCCACAGCAGAGGAAGTTCATACGGAAGCATTTTCCCCTAGGAAATTCTTAACATATTGCTTCCAAATTTGCTATTTCCTTATTTCAAGGCATATTAAAGAGAAAAAGAAGAACAAGAAGAAGAAGAAGAAGAAAAAAGGAATAAATTAGAAATATAAAGCCTGCGACCCCATCGCCCCTTAAATCCGCCCATATGGATAACTAATGACAAAAAATCACTATACGTTTTCGTTTGATTTGATTGCCAGCCTTAAGAGCAGCATGCCTTTTCGTGAAGATTATGGAATTAAAGTTGCAGAACAACTATAGCACAAGCAACACTTTCTTTGCTCCTTTTAGCAGCTGTAAGGAGCACGCTACAGGAAATACTTCAGGAAATGCATCGCATTACAGTGACTTCAGGTACCTACAAAAACTATCAATTGGCAATTTATTAAGCAATTATTGGGTGAGGTTGAGCATGATATCGTAAATTCGAGACCGAGGCAGTGTTATCTGCCGAAGCCGAAGGCTGAGGCAGATAACACAGCCTCGGTCTTGATATTTACGATATTATGCGATAACCGAATTCAATAATTGCTTTATTATACATTTTGTATAACATTAACATGAACATTAAATTGTAGAGACAAGAATTATGAACGCCATGATGTAGCGTGAAAAACGCAAAAATTCAGTTAATTCAAAAATATTTTTGGAATTCTTCATAAAATACATGAAAATAAGTTAAGGATTCCTTAAATAATTGTTTTGTACATAATTCTGGAAATAAATACACATAATGAATAAAATCAAAGCTACCACAGCGTGAGCTTGAATGAACTTGACATGATAAATGTATTATCTGTAGGAAAACCTACAGATAATACATTTATCATGTCGAGTTCACACAATATCGGGGATTGGCTGAGGGCTCTCGACCAATCAGATTTGAGATACTTAGTAAAATGTATAATAATTTTTATTATTACGGAAATAAATATRTTCAGGATGAGCGTAGTCTGAATAGTTTTCAGCATATTTTTATTTTTAGGTTAATCTATAGTCTAGATATCTGGAGAGAAAAAAGAAACTTAAATGTTACCAACAATCCTGGGATTATGGGATTTAGTGATTGTGACTATTGACTGAGGTCAGTATGATACTCATTTTGCTCTCTCCTGATTGGCTGACGTCTTTTATATCTTAAATATTGTTTAAGGGGTCCCGGGTAGTGTGTTTATACAGTTATAGGTCAATAATTTCTCACGTTTTTCAATTGCAAATTTCGCGGAAAAGAGTAAATTAAGGAGGGCCTATATTTTCAATTAAATAATTTTCATTTAGTCATAACCCTTAAACGTCCAGTAATCCGCAAAACAATATCTGCTTGAAAAAAAATTTAAAAATTGTTGTCAAAATTTTTCCCAAGAATTCTAGTTCGAAATGAACTTGAATTGCATTCTTTTCCCATTTGTAGGAACATTGACCAAAACAACTATGACATCATAGGAAGGTCAGCTTATCACATTAATTCAACGTCCTATCAAGTCATTGCAAACTTGTCGCCTGCAAAAGGAATGTCAATTATTGGCAAAACAAGGCTCCTTAAGGAATATCATATGGATGACATGTCAAATTCGTCACAAAACCGACTTCAAATCGTGACGATAGAACACGGCCAATACACCTATCGCGTTCAAAACGTCTATCCAAAATGTCTTTTAAAGAAATCCGATTGCAAGACCTCTGAACAGACTTGTGAAGTAGGTATTCCGTGTACAAAATATATTTCTTCAGGCAACAATACCTATCGTTCAGAAAGAATTTGTGTTGCTGGGTTAATGATTGAGCTCTTAAACCTGCTTCAAAACGACCTTCATTTCACGTTTGATATATACATAGTAAGAGATTCTAAATATGGAGGATATGACAATGCAAGTGGTACTTGGAATGGTATGATTGGTGATATTATTGCAGGTGATGCTGACCTGGCCCTCGCTACCCTCACAACGACAAGCAAACGATCTAGGGTAGTGGATTTTTCATCTCCATATGGCGAAGTTGGAATAGGTCTCCTCACCTCAGCTGTTAACGAAATGGACTCAACTATCAATCTCGACTTTCTACTTCCATTCACTTTATCAATGTGGATTGCTATCCTTGTTACTATTGTAACCGTTTGGACGCTGATTTGGGCCTTTGATAAAATAAGCGCAAAGTGGCATTTGAAAGGCCGAAAGGGTCTTACCAATAACAAGAAAAAGGCTTTGTTTCTAGAGAGCATGTCATTTGCATGGAGTACGTTTGTGCATGTTCAGGCAGGAAGGGGACTTCCTCAGAGTCATAGTGCTCGCTTTGTGGCCTTATTCTTTGCTTTTGCCACACTCATTGTAAGTTCTGGCTACACTGCCGAGCTTGCTGCCCACAAAGTCAAGGAAGAAGTTAAACAAACAATTACTGGCATATTTGATGAAAAAGTAAGTACAAAAAAATTTATGTCAGTAGCTATAGAAAAATATAGGAAATGTCATTTTGCTGTGTTCGTTTTAGCTATCGGCATAAAGTGCTGTTGTTGTTTGCTCGTTACTATGCTTTTTCTGGGACAAAGACGAATTGAGGGGAAAAAAGCGATTTTTTTTCCCGATAATTAATATGTTATGGACATTTTAGATGCTGAATCCACCGGAGAATTTCAAATACGGAACATTAAAGGATAGCAGCACTGAAGCGTTTTTCAAATTCAGCGAGGATCCTAGATTAAGACAGATTTATCAAAACATGAAAGGCAACAACGTCGATAGAGTAGAGGATGGCGTGAAAAARCTTTCGAAAGGGTAAGAAATACGAATAAATATTACTATCTTTGCAGTCTATAGCTAACTATTCATTGGAGCATGCTAGTACTGTTTTAAAAGTCAAAACCACGCCCTGTTTCTATTGTTTGGTGTACGGTTTGAATTTCGATGGAAAACCTACATTTAACCTAGATTTAAAGTTGGGGGCGACATTGATATTAACAGGGGAGAGCGGGGTTGAATTCAAAACCCGGGACAGGTTTTCTATCGAAATTCATATCTTACATAAAACAATAGAAATAGGGCGTGGTTAGATTTTAAACCAGTTAAAACGCACTTGCTCAGCCGCGGCCCTCGGTCTTGAATTTCAATGCAAACCCTCGTCCTAGCCTTTTAAAACCTTATATAATGTTCCCTTTTTAGAGAATTCCAGGTTTATATCGACGATCGGCCATACCTGGAACATTTAGTATCGTCGCGATTGAACTGTTCACTGAGAGTTGTTGATAACTCGCTTGGAATGTCTGGTTACGCTCTTGCTCTAAGGAAAAACTCCAAATGGACATTACCGTTCTCCCTTAGCATCATGAAATTCAACGATAACAATATTCTACGGGACTTGTGGGCCAAATGGTTAAAAAGGAAGTGCATAGCCAAAGAAGAGTTTGATAAAATACCCTCAGGAATGACTATTGCAAATGTCAACGGTCTATTTCTAGCGATAACTATATCGATAGCTATTGGGGTAGTCTTTTTGGTAATAGAAAATGCAATTTGTTATTTCCGAAAAACGAAACAAAAAAGTATTAATGTCATGTGTTGTCAAATGAACAGTGAGCGCAACACGTGGCCGGCGGTAACTGATTCTGTAGCAAGAGACCCATCGGTACGAGGTGTGCAGCTGCTGAGACATTGTACCAACAAAGCATTTGCTGGAAGTACCGTACTTGTTGATAATAACAAAGATAAACGTTAGCAGTTTTTGCGGATACAACATTTGATTTTCGTGGCAACATTTTAAGGAAGAGTATGTCCAAACGATCATTGGTGTCTTCTTACATGCATGCTATCATGCAGCATATATATTGCAAAGTCCATAAGTTGACATTGTAACCTGCAAAACAAATACTTGTCTCAACTTTAAAAAGTGTAATAGTCCAATAGACCCAATAGCTAGAAAATATTTGGAATAAGAGATTATGACGGAAATCAAATTGAGGAAATCTACTATTTCACATGTTGAGTAAAACTACTCCAATACTTGAAATGTTGCCACTGATGCATCAGTTATGGTTGCAAAGATGGTAAAAGATAACAAAGTGCTGCTATACAAGACACTAGGAGGAAAATGAAAGAAAAACAAAAAAATTGCTGCCCCCTCCTTATGCCCTCCCAAACAGTTAACGCATCCTCCCACCGCCAATTACTAGTGCCATACATTTAATTGTACTTAAATAATGGATATAAATCATTTGTTTAAGGTGCCTCACCTACACAGGGGGCAGAGGGAGGACACTTATCTTTCATTTTTATATAACATAACATGAGTAAGCTTGAGCCCGTCAGATACCGCACGCTGGGATGTGCGAGCTGTGCCTAACACCTAACGGTTGCTAGAAGGTCATGCGAGAGGGGAAAATGAGTTGCACTTGTTTGGCGTAATATCATATTATCATAATATCATTACCCCAAGCAACGGCAACCGTTAGGTCTACTAAGACACAGCGCGATCACTTTCCCTCTCACGTGGACGTCAAGCAACTGTTCAGTATGTGCAGGTGGTGTGCGACACGAGACACGGGAAATGATCGTCAATGGAAAAATGGGGTGTCCCGAGCTTATTTTTGAGATGATCGCTCCGGAATGACATGCGTTTGTACAATTTTGGAAGAAAAAATGGCGAAAATTAAGCTCGGTACAAAAAAAAAAAAAATCATAATTCCGAAACTAAGGAAGAAACATCTGATATTACCTATTATTCTGAAAAATATGGAGTCCCGTGCAGAATTTGAGGGTTTTGCCCTCTTGAAGTTCAAAACGTGTATGGTTCTTCAATAAAATGGTGATTATTCAGCGGTTTTTGAGTGTGCGCACATCGTGGGCTCAAATCGAATGTTCAAAAGTAGTCAGCTACCTTAAAGTGCAAATGAACCCTTTGACAATACATTCAGTACTGGTTCTGCATAAAGTAAATAGCTGATTGGTAAAATATTTCTTGATTTGAGTGATGCGTCTCTAGGTTATGAAGGTTTATACATCCTTGGGAGCAGAGTTCTTTTTATTAACACATCCTCAGCTTTCAAAGCTTCAAAGGTTCATTATTTTCACACACAAAAAGGCGTATAGAGTGGTTATTAAACTTGTGAAATAGATATTGTACACACTTTAGTAGACTCTAAATAAAAGTGCATCTATTTGACTGACACGTTGATTCATAATTTTTATCATATAGTTAGGACAGTATGCGCGCGCTGATTGGCCCAAGACTGTTTTATTAGTGAACGGAGCACAGTGCTGCTAGATCCTGCAACCGTCTTTCTTTTTGCGTAAATAAATTCAATACCGAAATAAAATTAATAAGCATATAATAAAACGAATAAAACGGCTATTTACGTGCTCCGTTCAATATTAAAACACTTAGGAAGCGCCGTAAGCACACAAGAAGTTTGAGAACGATTCATGCTCCTCCTTACACTTCTTTCGTGCTTTAGTCACGTCCTGCGTGCTTTATAACTGAACGGAGCACGTAAAAAGCTGTTTTATTTGTTAAATATTTCACGGGTTAAATGCCTTCACTCTATCAGGAATGGTAAAAAGCAATTCAAACCAGAAATAACAGACAATGCATTTATTGAAGTGAGCTTTCTAACAATATGGCCTCAACAACGGTCACTGACAATTTTAATTCTTATTCTGAATTCTATCAAACTATTCTTTATCATGCTTCGTGGAGGTGCATAATACGAATCATGCTCGTGCTTCATTGTTGATCGTCTTACAAACCAGCGTGAGAATAGCAATAAGAATATCAGTGCTCATTACTCTAACCTGATTCTCAGAACTAGAGCAAAATGCAAACTATTCGACTATTAACAGAAGCACCATCTTGTTCTAACTGCAAATTTGATGTAAATTGAAAATGATCTGCCAAAGTTTTGCATACTTAACAGGCGGAATGAGATATTTCAAGTCAAAATATCATTGCATGGACCTCAGTAAATTTGGATTGGGATAACCCATGAGTTACTGACACCAGGATAGAAACGCCTGTCGGTTCAGTCCAGTTGCTGGTGTACTTGTTTTTAACCTTTGACACGGGCTGGTTTCTCTTCACGTTCCGTTATCTTTACGTTTCTGTTGGTCGTGAAGCAGCTGTTGCAGAGGTGACATTCCTTGGCTGGGTGAGAATTCTTGACCCCACATCGACTGAAATTCAAACAGAGGTATACAAATTACAAATTGATTGGTTTAGAATAATTTTGCTTTTACCCATATACCAGGGATCCTTTTTATGTACTACGGACAGGGAAAAGGTAGGTTTTCAAGCTTTCATTATGTAATACAGCATTCAGTATTCTTAGCATTCCTTAATGCGAAGTCCTGTTTTGTAGCCTTTCATGGAGTGGGCTTTTTACGAACGAATAAGAGTATTTTGTCTTCTTAATACTATCAATTGTTATACTTATTTCGATAAAGCTACAAGGCCGAGGACCGATAAGTATTATGGGTAAATAAATGGTATAGTACACAATTTTGAAATTAATGTGTAACACTGAAAAAAAAAACGTTTCGACTGCTTGTAACACTGAATTAATATTGAGATCTCGAGCTGCCATTTATGACAAAAACTTAACTTGTTAACTTAACTTCCTTTAAGCGATCTCAGTTTTACTTTAACAAAGTTTGTCTTTTCCCACAACTCAATCTCTTGGTCACGTACCTGCACTTGCTGCGTTGGTGCTGGGTTATTATTTGCAGCACCAATTTTCACAGGTCCCCACACTCCAGATCCCCAGTTCTCACTCAACCCAAACCCATCGAGAGGTCCTGGTGATGGTGTTGAATAGCCTGGGGGTCTGGAAGCGTCTGGAAATGTAGGGCCAACACTGCTGATTGGCTGGCATTCTCCCACCGCACCAGGTAAAGTTCCTTGGTTTAGGAATTTATGCCCTACCGGAGACTGGTCAGGATGGGGAGTTCTTTCATTTGTAAAGGGCTTTTCTGTAGGAGAAGGTGATGTCGATCCTAGATCGAGAAAACAGACGAAGAGAATGTTGACAAATATCATTTTTTTTAAACACAGCATGCATATGGCATTTAGGGTCATCAGAGACAATAAGCCTTCAATGGATCAGTTACATATAGAAAAGAAGCTTAACTCTTCTGCCTTTATGTGAAATAGACCTTTTCGGGCGTAATGTTTTCCCATTTCATTCCAGTGATAACAATTAATGTTATATTAAGCTTACCAGTAGTGCCGAAAGCAGAAGTAAGAGGTGCTTTCCAGCCAGACTGAAAAAGAGAATATTGTGGTACTTGCGGTGTAGACAAAGGTGCTCCCTGAACAGGGCCACCAATAACTCCATGACTTGCGTTATTGAAGAGAGAGCTGCAAAAACATCCAATTATTACTAAGAACTTGGTGTCTCTTTAAGTGTATGTGCGTGGCCGGGAGAAGGGGTAAAAGTTGCACAATCTGAGTGCTATACGTGTATAGCCGGATCTTTATTTACGTTTTTTCCTCATCAGCATAAAAAATTCAAGCTACAAGCAAACCGACTCCAGAAATCGAAAGAGAATGTCTTATTTAGTAACTACTGAATATTTGAGTCTTGAAAGTAATTATGTTCAGTAATTTGATTTTCCTGAGTCAAGCCTGCACCTCAGTGTGCACAATACATTGTATATCGCAAAAGTTACCTTGTCTCGGCGAAGGGTGTGGGTGACGATGCTTTCTGTTGGCATTACAAAATAATTGTACGTTAGCGAAAATACTTCATACAACAGCATACATGTATTAGTTGAAAAAGTGGGAAATCTCGAAATTTATTATTTCGTAGAGGCAGTCGTCATATTGGCTTTCCATTGTCTCTCATTTCGATACRACACTTCTCGCAACGAAAAACCTATACGAGCTAGGACAGAGCATATAACAACCAGCTGCAGCTCGATGATGAGCAATTCCTCTTCCCGAAGTACAGAGGATCGAAACTAAATAATTTCCATTTTAAACCATAAGTCATTTCCTTCAGGGAATGTTCGAGTATCAAACAAACTAAGAATCTTATTCCCAAGAAAATGAAATGCACGTGTGAGCATGGGAAGATAACTAAACAGATGAGCGATTACCTGAGGTAAAAACGTAGGGGTTGGGAGAGAGGGCAACTTTTGTCCAGCTATRTCCAGATCTACTTCCCCTGGTAACCTTGTTGCGATCTCCTGAAGGCTGAAACTCTGTTAACAGTAAGTGAGTAACAAATTGAGAGCACGATAATTTTACTGAGGTATACGTAATGTCTCTCTTTGGCTTACGCTGAATATGCACTGTAACCTACTGCACTGCCAGGAGCAAAGCATTATTACTCACGTTTTCAGATGTACTTGATTCAATGCGAGGAGAAAATTTGGAAAGTCCTGTTGCTACATCTTCAACTTTGGACAAGATTCTGTGGTTCGGCAAATCGTAATAAATATGTCTTAATTAACAGACTAAATAGATGTGTCAAAATTACCATTATTTCTATACCAATCTTTTCATCACAAAACACTATCATCCAATGATATCAGATATTTTAGTCCATATTTTGTTCCATTTTAAACTAATTAAATATATGTTAGCATACCTGGGTGAATGGCTAGACAGTTTATTACCAAACTGAAGGAGGCGGTATACCCTATGCATATGTTCATTCTCCACCTGTGTTTTCTTCRTTGTATAATTGAGCTTTCTGGGTACAATAAATATAACACAGAACACCTTCAGTTACTGTTTACTTGCCTGGGTGTATGCTTTCATATTGAGCCAGAGGGAAGAAGGCGTGAGCACATAAATTCCATCAAATTACAGTCCTCGTATGGCAATATTGTAGGTTTTATATCCCAGAAGAGAAGCGCGTGCTTTGGAAAGCGGTCTTTGATTTACAGGCTAATGGTTTTTTGGGGTAAGTTTATTACAGGAGAAAGTCCTTCCAATATTATTATACAGTGTAGTATTGTATATTGTAGTATGGTTTTCTTACTTGTGGAATGAGTTCAAGGGAATGAAGGCATGTAATTCCCAGTCTTCATAAAGTGGAGTATCTGAGGAATCAAAGTTACATATAAGAATATAGCTAAGAATCTGGAATAAAACAACAATAACTTGTTGATGGGTGTTCACACAGCTATCCTAAACCAACAGTCCATGGGTAGGGATGCAGGGAGCTGATGGACAGAAACAAACAAACATTAACACAGACAGCAATAATTGCTGAAAGCACACAGACAGGCAGACAGGTTAGCACAGTGAGAGGCGGAGTTACAAAGACTCAGTATTCACTTGATTGACAAGTTCAACTTTTTATTTTATTTTTATTTGAAATGTGATCMATCATTCAATGTTACGAACCCTCAAGTAAGTAAGGGCTCAGCTAACTCATAAATTACATTGATGGAATTTCATGGATATGATGAGTGTTACATAGGGAGGAAAACTGGTCTAATCAAAGAAAACCCTTGAAACAAAAAAAAATCATTGTTTTCAGGAATATTTGTAGGCCTAGTCAAAGCAGAAAGTGGATAAATCATGCACTTAGAACTTTCTTTGCTTACCTGGTATGTCGATATGGAAGTTTTCACAACTCAGTTGGTTCAAAAGCAATGCAAACTTGTCCCATGCACTGAGAAACAAACAAAAAAATGACAGCATAGGTTTAGTTTTTAGTCAATTCTGTTAACTGGAAGTCCCGTAGGTAGGATTACATTTGTTTCAGTTATCACATACAACTAGCAAGATATTGGCCTGCATGCACAGCCACTTCTATTTGCCTGTCTTAACCACAGCTAAAGTTGCAGGCTACAGTACATGACCATTTCCTTCACGGATTGTGATGGGACAGTGTAGTTATCTAGGTACAAAACTTACACTCCAGATTTGATAGTATCCTCTCTCCAGGCACTAGATGCATTACCAGCAATCCATTGGCAAAACACACTAAGGTAGACCAGGGTTTGGCTTGGTAGAGGATGATCATTGTTGGTTTGGTTAGTTAGGTGGGCTAGCACAGCATTGAAGAAATTGACTAGAAGTTAAAAATATATTAAATATACAATGAGTACACACTAATGCAATAATTAAGTGTTTTTTTAATAAAAAGCAAATAATAGTAGTAAATATATATGTACAATAAATTATAGATTACATTTTATGGCTTGAAAATATGAGTTAAATCTATTAGCACTAAAACATACCTGCAAATTCTAGAGCCAGCTGAAAACCATCCTACAAACAACAAGAAGAAAAAAGAAATAATGTCAGAAGATATTAATTTTTTTCACTGTACTTAACAAATTGACATCAGTTAATGTGTCTGTCCTCTTATTGATGATAAATTCTGTCATCACATTGTCAAAGTAGTGTGGATCCACGAGGTGTAGCCAATACATTTACCAAGAAATTCGTAAGTTAAATYGTAAAAAAAACAGAATTGAAGGAATCTGAGACCACAGGGAGACCAATTTAGATAAAAGTACAATAAATTCAATAGAAGCTAACAAGAAAGTCTGCTAAAATAAAATAATAGAAAAGAGCAGAAAAATCAAGCAAAAACTCATTATAGTTTTCATTTTTTTCACACAATTTTGTTGTGCTAATATATAAATCCACAATCCACTTAATTATCAACCACAAAAACAATTCTAAAGTTTAAGTCTACTTGTCATTGTTATTGCTTGATAATCTGTCATGTGTCTTTGTTTAATGGATGTCATGTTTCATGCCTTTTTACTGTACCTCATCATCTTTGCCGATATAATCAAACTCCTCCAAATCATCTACTCCACTTGATTTAATGTGATACAAACTAAACAAAGTAATGGCCGCTAAATGAATGTAATCATCTAGCTTCAATGCATCTTGCTGGAGTAGAAACTAAAAACATTCAAATATGTAAATTTAATATTAGCAAGAATTATACTGTGAGTATTTCAAGTGTAATGCTTCAAAAAAGAAAAGAAAGTGTAATGCTTCAAAAAAGAAAAGAAAAAAAAAAGGAAAGAAAAAAGAAAAGAATGAGAGAATGAAAGAAACTGTGAGAAAAATCTTACTTTGAAACCCTCAACTATGGTATTCTTCAGCTGTCTTGCTTCACTCAAATCTGCAACATAATGAAAAGTTTAAAAAGTTCCAACAATCCCTTATTCCAATGGCAAAAACCAAAGTAAATGTTTAATATTCTAAAAACATATGCCTTTTTGGCTATACAACACTTAAATTGTGCTTCTATTTTGTGTCACACCAGAGCTGTTACAAATTATACACTCAGTAAGATAAATTTTTTTGGTGCTTTGATTATTAATTAAAACAACTTGTACCTCTTATTCATTTTTTAGGAGCTTCTTTGCTTGCAAATCTTAAGCAGTTATAAAGCTTATGGCCATTACTCACCCTGATCAAGATATATGTGTCCATGAAACTTGAGGAACAGGTGGAAAAATTCTGCATTAGAGATGCCATCTGTGCTGGAACTATTTGTAACATCAAGAAGATTTATTACCACAAAAGAATTTAAAACAACAAACAGTTGTTTTTACTTATAATGATGACACAGCTTTATAATCTCTGTTTAATTGAAGCAAAGATAATAATACAATGATGAAGCTATGAAAAGATGCTGTAAAAACTATATTGAATGATCCTGTTCAAAAAACATTTGAAATAAACTTTGTTTTCATGCACAATCAGAATTATAATAATCTTGGCCATAAGGTAAATTAATTGAGACATTTTAAATATAAGCATATTATTGAATGGCATCTTCATGCATTCTCTGTTATGATACTTCATCAATCTTAATTAAGCTAGCTACATAAATATATACATATTTGTCTTTCAAATTCAATAATAAAAATGTCTTAAAAATGTCTGGGCTACAGAGGTGTTGAAGGTGCAAGGGAGTGAAAGCAACCCCTAAGTGCAAGTGTTAATCCTTTGAATTCACCAAATTGATGAGAGGCCTATATTTTATCACAGAACTACAATTTGATCCTGACCTTCTGATTGCATGGCTAAAAAACGAAGACTAGCGTCCAAAACGTCAGTTCATCTTTTCACGGTGTATAATTTACCCTTTTATCATTACTGTTTCATTAGAAATGCCAACGCAGCTCACACTAGTTTTTAGCTGGTTATCTTTTTATAATCGTCTCATTAATATTAGCAACTAAGTGTACATTTATTATTTTGTCCCAATAATACATTACATTGTACTGTTCTTGGAGCATATTTTGGTGAATATCTTGTGAAGATTGGTTGATGCAGCAGGAAACTGGTTTTTTACTGCAATACTACAATTCAAACAAAAAAAAACATTTCATTTCACAATAACTTACAAATTTCTCTCATGCTGATTGGTTATTTTTTTATCATTAATAAGAGGACAGACAGATAAAGCTGATGTAAACGAGAACGAGTGCGGATCCACAAGGCATAGCCAAGTGGATCCACATACTACTTTGACAATGTGATTGATTGATCCTGTATTAAAAAACTGATGTCTATTTGTTAAACTTATGATGAATAAAATTGAGGGGAGAAAAACATATATGTTTTATATAATTATGAAATTATGATAGAATGATTATTTGTAAAAATATTTAAAAAATATACCTTCTACAGTAGAAATAAACAGTCCCAAGTTGGTCTCCTTTGGCACTTGCTAGAATGGCTAGTTGGTTGTATGGCTGACCTAAAAACATGGCATGGTCATAATTAATATTATTCAGAAGCTGACTAATTGCTGTAAATAATAATCAAGCAAATATACTGCTAAATATTTTCAAACAAATAACTCACCATTAGAAGGCACAAGGACCAGTGCATGTCTGTAAAACAATTCAGCCTGACTGGAATCATCACAATACCTGGCTAAAGAAACATTAAAAGACATTTCATTTTTTTCATTTTACTAAATCACCCAAAGACATGTATTTATTTAATTTAATTTATTCATTTATTACATCCATTTTGAAATCACAAGCAAATCCTGCAATCTGATTGGTTCCCTGCAGCAGTGATTTCAGCATAAATTGCACGATTTTGAGCTCTAAATTGCACGATTTTGAGCTCTAAATTGCACGATTTTGCACATCAACTGATATGAACCAATCACAGGAGAGACATGTCATTTTCTAGCCAATTATATCAAGGAATCCATCTGAGTATTGAGCTCACCGCTTCTTGCGAAAAAAAAAAAGTCACGGCTCAAAAAAAAATCTTCTAGAGAACGATTTTACCGTCAAAAGCCTTAAAAAAGACTTAAAAAGCCGTAAAAAGGACTTAAAAAGACCAACTGATCACTTAAAATCGTCAAAAGCATCTTTGTAAAGTAACTGCTTAAGTAAGTTGAAGATATTACAGCGAAAAGCAGTGGGAGAAAATGCAGTCGGCATCTTTTGAATGTGACTTCTTGGCGATTGATCGTGGAAAGTGGTTTCCTTTTCAATCTTTAAAGCATAACAACACATTGAAAATACAGTCATTAAAAGAAGCTTTTCTTAAGAGGAAGATTTTTGCTGAGCTACGTGACTTCTTAAGGACAACCGAAGGACTAAACAACCTTTGATTTTTGCTGTTTTGTTGGCACAAGTGTGATCTAAACATGTTGAACAGAAATCGTAAAAATACAAGCAGTGAGCATTGGCTGTATGGACAACAGCCAGTTCATTACAACCCTTTTGGGCAGGATTGTCTTGCTATTTAATGTAAGTAAATGTTTCTTAATTTGTAAACCTTTTGGTCCTATATAAATTCATTTTAGTTTTGGATTGAAAGTGTTGGTTTTCAAAATGAGAATCATTGCTCGATCAGTATAAACAAGTTCTCTTGACAGCATGTTTGGGTCGACTGCTTTTAGATCGTAAGTCATGTCAGTTTAACTGGAAAAAACGTCTTTTTCAAAAAAGATTTCAAAATGGATATAATAAAGTGGTAATTGAACTTCGTGTCGTGCAATTTTGGTCTGAAATCAAACTTGCAATTACAAATCGCACTCCCGCTACACGGTCATGCGATTTTGTAATCGCGCGTTTGATTTCAGACCAAATTGCACTCCACTCAGTTCAATTACCATTATTAATGCATTCAAGACATAATTATAAGCTAATATATTTTCTGCTCAATTTTCTATTTTATTTTTAAGTAGTTGTAAAAAAGATATCAGGTACATTTGATCATATTCACATGAAAATTTGYACCATATAAGTATTAAATTAATAATAATAATGAGTATTAATAATATGAAATAGAAGAATTGTGATACTAATTGATATTTCACTTGTTATCATTAATGCAATTTAATTGTAACTTCTGCATGCATGTTTGATAACTATTTATTAAATACAAAATGATTCGAAGTTGAGGATTAATAAAATCATGCTTTTCAAAAACTTAAAGTTGTCGTTATTTTTTATTAACTACTACAAGATACTAAGGCCCTGTCCACACGTACGTGGAAATTTTTGTATCCACAATTTTTGTTTTCGGATACGAAAATGTTCGCGTCCACACGCAGTGTATTCAAATCGCTTTCAAACCGTTTTTTCTGTCCACAYGTATCAAAAAATTTCTTGATCCGCCCTGATGCACCCTATTGCCTAGCCCCTTTGAAGGATAGTTTTTCTATTGAGCATGCGCAAAATCGTGTTTACGTCATGGTATTCGAAAATTGGCAGATACGATCGTCCAAACGTCGGAGCGTATTTGAAAATTTCCACTCTGGAGACCGTTTTCGAAAATTTCCGGATATGGATACAAAAATTTGCGGACACGTGTGGATGCAACCCGTATCCGCAAAAAAAATTGCGGATACAAAAATGTCTGGATACGTGTGGACAGGGCCTAAATAAATCAATAATTAATTTCCTATTCCTTACCTATATCTCCTAAATGAACCAAGCAGTCTTGACACACATAGTAACATGATTGAGTGTGAGGTTTCTTATTTAGATTATCAACATTTCCATCTGAAGTGAAACAAAATATTAATTATTTTACCTAATACATGTATTTTTTCTGGCACTTCACCTGATTTCTCACTACATGTAAATACCAAAATATAAGCAAGCATTTCAGCCTGACTTGGTAAAATAATAGTCATGATTCTTTTATGCAAGTTTTTACTTTAACCCAGCCTCAGTTTTGGTGAATTATGTCTCTTGCTCAATCAATAGATTATTATTAGTATTAATAATATTAAAATTAGTAATTTTACTTAAGTGAATCTAATATACACAGTATGCTTATTGGTTAGAATTTACATCTTATGCTGTTATATTCACCTACAGGTGAATATAACTTGCATGCTTGTTTTTCAATGTGTGCCTCTTGCAGAGATAAATAAAATTAGAAAAAATAAATAAATGAAACTGTCTCTCCGTTATTTATTAAATCCACTAGTTTAAGAAATACTATTTACCTCAGTCGCCTTGCCACTTGAAGGCATCTCAGTAAATATTCCCGGATATTCACTTTGCCTTCAGTGAATAATCATTAAATGCTGTATTATTAATCTTAGCGATAATTTATTGATTGACCAAGACTGAGGCTGGGTTACAGTAATTTTTTTTTTGTCAGAAAGTGCATGTATTTGACATCAACAGTTAACCCTTGGCATACAAGGTGTACCCTTAGTGTACCTTCTAAGATGCCAAGGTGAGAGGACTTTGTGTGTCCCGGAAGATCAAGATTGTAATGAAGGCAAAATTCTTGCAAGAGCTAAAGAAACAATAAACAAAATAAAGAGTACAACATGAGAAAACCAAAACATACAATGTTTAGAAACTTCAGATATATACTGTATATGATAAAAATATCGCATTGTTGTATTCATGGAAATTCTATTAAAAGAGGCTATAATTGGTAAAAAGTTTGCTATAATGAAAGTTACCCATTTCAGTGTTGCCTTCAACGTTATCAAATAAATATAATTAGCAATTTCCAATTTTTACAGTCATGTATGGGCCTGCAGCAATGCAGCAAAAAAAACATATTTCATTGCAAAACAATCAAAATTACAATTTACATATTTTTGATCCCAATTTGAGAAATGTGTAAAGGATTTAATGTATAGTTCATACCTGAATATAAAAGCCACTGGCTGCTTCAAGAAATAACGATAAAACAGCCTGTATCTCACTTGACTTTGAGCCCTGGTCATACAAAATATTTGATACCATCATATGAATCGTATCTGCCTGGGAGCGCGCTCTTAAAAAAACCTTCAGGAAAATGGTGTGAGCAGGGCCGTAYGAACCCGTATGGCCCTGCTCGGAGCTGCGCGCTTTCAATCTTTAGCTTTTATTTACTATTTCTTTCTTTTATTTTGTTAATTTTCTTTTCGTRAGGGTCATATGATAAAATGCTTATTGACTGAGTTAGGTTGGCCCGTACGGGAAAATATTTGGCTCTCAGTCATTGGTACAGACCTTGGTCCRTACGGTATCACCTCAAGCCAAATAAATAAATGAATAAATAATGATTCAATAAATAAAAACCTTAGTGGATAAAAGGAAGTGTCCATATCTCTAGATGAGATTAGCATTTCAAACCATCATGTACATAATCATGAACAATAAACAACTTGTTTACAATATGTGAAAAAAATAACAACTTTGAATAATTTCTGACTACTCTCATGACAATTTGTGAGTGTCCTGGTAAATATTTAATGTGCCTGACATTGTTAATAGTTTTTTTTWAAACAAATCGGAGGAATAGGTTTCTATATTTTCTAAATTTATGTTTGTTGGTCACATTGCATAAGCCTAAAGTACAAAAAAACTGTCTTTAGATAAATAGAATTGGTTAAAAATCAATTTGCTTGCAGAAGTGTTGTGAATGAATGCAGGCAAACCTGTACTATATTTTACATTTTATTCTATTTTTTAATATTTAAAAAATCCCCTTAGAATGGTACAGTACCTTATTATCTTTTGTTTGATGTCTTAAGAAATCGATCTGGCTTTTAAATGAATAATTCCATCTAGAAAAAAATATTATGGACATTAAAGAGAATTGTTTAAATTCAACGATGTACTGTACATGTATATTGACTCTACAATTCTGATATAATCATGTATAGTTTAATAAACGGCCAGGAGTGTTTTATCAGCTAGGTTTAAAACCACGAGATGTAGCCGAGTGATTTTAGACCTGATAACACACAATCTGCATGTTGATTAAACAACTTCGAAATTCATGCATAATAATTAAAGAGCATTTAGGGTCCTTATTTGTGACATGCTCTAGTWCTCTTTTGGTCCTTTATAAAGATTTCAAAATCTTTGTATAAAGCTTTCCACGTTGATATAAAAATCCATGCATGTTATGGATTTGAAGGGGTCTTAATGCTTATTAATTATTCATTAATTTTGAAATAAATATACAGGTAATAACAAACCATAATTATGTATATAAATAGTTGCTTACAAGTCTTGTTCTACTTTCTTATCCAGGGCAAACTCCAGGTCATTCAACAGGATATTCTTGTATAAATCCTGTAGCCTTTTGGAAAAAATGAAATTATGGATAAATTTTGAAGCTGAATATTTTGTGATTTTAGAACTGATGAATTCACAACTTTTTATAATAAAGCAAGAATTTATCGAAAAAAGGGTCATTGTTGGTTGATAAACTAAAACAGTTCAAACTATGTCATACATCTGCCTTGAAGACCATCCTGAACTGCCCACATTGAAGTCCTCAAAACTACCTGGAAATAAAAGGTTCAGTCTAGCTTTTTGAAGTATATAAAGTATATAAAGTATAAAGTAATATAAAAATATTAAGATTCATTTCAATTTTGTGTACATGTATGTATGATTCTTTACTTCATTCATTCATTTAATCAATTGTACATTTCCTAATTCATTTGTTTAATGTGAATCAGTCATCCATTGTTACAAATACATTTGTTCAATACAGCATGTCATTCATTCATTCATTCACTCATTCATTTGCTCATTCACTCATTCATTTGCTCATTGCTCAATCATCAATAACATTAAATTATTCATTTTTGCTTTGCTGAAAAGAAAGAGAAGAAAGGGGAGGGTAGGGGCAGTTGTTTGCTAAGAATGAAGATCAAATCTATTCAATAGAGGCCTTGCACCATCACATGATGACAGCCATGACAGGAAGCACAACAATAGTCTTTCCCTCCCCCCCCTCTCCTGGGGAAACTGAATTTATTGTTATTCAAATCAGAGTAGACCAGATTCATTTGTTCCTGCCCCCTGCCGTGGCTGCCATCACATGATGGTGCTAAGCCTCTTTAGTAACATATATTACTGTAGCTTGTTATATTTATGGGCAATGTAAAGAAACTAGCAAAAACGAAATTGAAATTATTTTAAAGAAAAACACTAAATGTTGTAGGTTACAAAGAAATATTAAAGATGTTAAAAAAAAAACAAGTAGAATTAATTCCAATGAATGAAACAACTCAATCCCCCTAAAATTACAATGGTGACTCAAAATTAGTTAAGCTTATCCTTAACTTTCTTTAAAAACTACCTTACACGAATGGTTGAAGATTACTTATACGCTTATAATGGAGATTATTTCTAAAATGCAAAACTTTCTGTGCCACATCTATGCCTGCAATATTGATTATTCATAGGCTATCCATGGAAGATTGCAGGAGAAATACCAATCCCGAAGTCTATTGTTGACGCAATTCTAGAAAAATTATTTGCAGTCCACTTGTAAACAACTTACCTTTCAAGCTCGCCCGAAGCACTTCTGCTTGTCTACACGAAGAAAAGTAAATCATTAACCCATGTAAGCATTAAATATTCTATTKTAAAGGTTATTTTACTATTTATACCTTCGATTTGAGCATAAACAAACCTTAAAGCTTGAGGTCCCGGACAAACAACAGCCGCCATGATAAAACCTTCATCTTGCTGTATTGTACTCACACTGCGCACCGCTGATCTTGGTATCGCGGGCATAATAGCACAGGTAACCCGCCACATACATACCTAATGACTCTGCCTAATCCCCAGAGGGAACGCCCGCCCCTTTTTGATTGGAGTCCCCAACCCCTAGGGGGAAGGAACTGAATGACTTTTATTTTTGTCACTTAAGCTAATTATAATTAGTTTCTTTTGTATAAAAAGAAATTTGTGAGGACGTGCAAAGCCTGAAAAACGAAGGCAAAGCGAAGTATGATAAGTTTATTTTTCAAAATCGTGTTCCTTATATCGTTGCTCTAAATGAGTACTGTATAGTCATATATATAACAAATACGAATGCAACCAGGTATCGTGAAATATTTCAACTAACTATCGCGTGCCAAAAATACGGAGTTTATGATTCAGCTTTCACGACCCTGCCTCTCCCGTATGTCGCACCTTCACGTACCTTTGACCTCTATGACGTTATCGGTTATCGTATCTCTTTATGCGTGAAAAATACAATTTACACCTTATATTATCGAATCCTAGTAAATGTGTATTCGCTACAAAAAAATAGCTTTCATGAAATTTTCGAGAAGAGTAAAAGGTAAAAAAAGAAAAAGAAAAAATGCAAATTGTTTTAAATAAATTTTGCTGCTCTGTGTATTCCCTTTTTCGTCCAAGGAAAAAAATAATTTCATCATACGGCGGTAGCCTTTAAAATTACTATATATGAAATCACGAATCATTTCAGCCTTTTTCAAACCATCAGTTAGTTAAATATTTGATGTCGTTGTTACTGGTATTCTAATTATTTATTTTTTCTTGGTACATCTATCTATTCAGTTGTGAACAAGAGAATATGAATATCCCTTGGTTGTGAATTGTTTCCATTTTTTTTATGAGCTTCGACGATCTGCCATATACGCCTATGAAGCTCGACAATTCCTCTTTGCTCTGCCCGTAAAAAATACTTTGTTGGAAACTAGCGTGAACTCCACCACAACGGACAACACTCACTTGCCAACAAAGGTGATCAAGCTGAGCTTGCGCACATCATAAACTATACAAATTACCATCTTTATGTGGCGCAGTGACAGAGATCAATATAATCATCAGTTCCAATTGTGGAAATTGTTTTAGACCTAGCAATCTCGACAAAACTAAACAAAAACTACAAATACGCTTTTTATTTCTACTTAATTAGTTTTCCTATTACACCAAACGGAGCTGGCTTAGCCTTCAAAATATTCCTCTATCAATGGGAGAGCTTTCTAAGCCATGATTGAAAGATGCCACAATATGCAAAAATAGTGAGAATCAAAGGCATGAGTATGGCTTTAAATTTTAAATTTTTTAACTTTTCCGCATTACATATAACGTTGAATTCGTCGAATTCGTTGCAAATTGTTCATGGTCTCTTGGCGGTACGAAAGCATAGCTTATTGACTAACTTCATTTCGCCCAGTGTCGGACAATTGAATAAACTCGCCGTTCAAAACAGTACATAAAGATTGATTGAATAATAAGTCTAGTTGTGATTTTAAATACAGGCCCCTCGCACGGTATGTATGAATGATATATAAAAATACGGAAAAATATAACAGTACAGTAACTAAAGTAACGTTTTAATTGACAGAAAAAAATAAAACTGGAACTGCGTAATTTTACGGGGATATACGAGAAATTTTGAGTGAATAGAATCCCTCTCTTGTATTTTCGCCCACTACAGCTGCTGTCTTCAMCTGCGGCGTTCGACAAAACAATGAGTGTTCATTGGTTGGTTTAGACAAAGCGTATGGTCGCTTTCCTTAATTCAAATTGGATAAACCTATCTAGAACATCTAAGGGAATGAAAATGAATAATATTTGATGAATTATACATTTATTGTCACTTGAATAACTAGTGAAAGAGTGTACATAATCCAGCTGCAGTGTTTGAGTCGTTTTTAGTTGGACGTAGAATATCACAGAAGAAAACAGTTCAAAGAAGAAAGATCTTTTGTAAGTCCAACGGACGCTCGTATTAAAACAAGAATTGGCCTTGAGGAAGGTAAAAATCAGGGTAAATACTTGAGAACAAATCAAAGGACGGAACCTAAACAACAAAATGTCGCTCGCGGGATTCAAAAAACAAATCAATAAAGCGAACCAGTATGTCAGCGAGAAGATGGGTTCTGTCGAAGGAACCAAAATGGAAGAAGAATTCGTCGAAATGGAGAAAAAGACGGACGCCATCACTACTCTCGTAAGTCAACTAACAGCAAAAACTAAAGAATTCCTTCACCCGAATCCAGCGATTCGTGCCAAGATGTACATGCATATGGGAGCGCCAGGATCGACCTATCCACAAACTGAAGGTCTTTTGGGAGATGTAATGCTGAAAGCAGGCCATGAACTCGACCCCTTTAACTCCGAGTATGCTTCCGCTTTACTTGATGTGGGTAGTGTACTTATCGAGGTCAGCGACAGCCGAAATGCCATGGATTCCCACATCCAAGAAAATTTCTTGATGCCCCTGCACGAGTTAGAAAACGGGGAGTTAAAGGAATTGGCGCTCAACAGGAAGAAGCTTCAAGGAAGAAGACTTGACTATGATTGCAAGAAACGTAAAGGACCTAAGGGCTCCATCGAAGAAGTTAAAATGGCTCAGTACAAATTTGAAGAATCAAAGGTTGTATGTAAAGAAGGCATGACTAAACTCCTAACAAATGAGGTGGAGATGATACACCAGCTCAGCCAACTTGTCTGTGGAATGTTGGAATTTCACAAGAAATCTGCCGATACCCTCGAAAGAGTTGTAATGTTGTTGAACAAGCGGGTTGTAGGTGCAAAGAGTGGTCCAACTTTATCCAAAGCTCAAACAGCATCGGGAAACGAGGCAGCTTCTGCCAAAGGCACGAATCCTTTGGCAGACGACACGGCTACTGTAGCTGAAACCAAACCTTGCTGTCGTGCAAAAACCGATTATGATAAGCAAAAAGACGACGAGTTAAGCATTAAAGAGGGCCAAATAATCATGCTAGTGAGTAAAGACGATGATGGGCAGTGGTATGARGGAACTCTGGATGGGAAATTTGGAAGATTTCCTTCTTCTGCAGTAAAAATTGTTGTGGATCTCCCTCAAGAAGAAACGGAAACCGAAGATACTCCTGTAGAAAACAAAGAAGACGTAGAAGAAGAAAAAGAGGCCGAAGAAAAAAAAGAGGCCGAAGAAAAAAAAGAGGCCGAAGAAAAAAAAGAGGCCGAAGAAAAAAAAGAGGCCACAAAATAGCTACGTAGATCCTAAATTGAAAATAATTTACACAAGGATGTTTCTTTAGATTTTAATGTATTTTAAAGTGGAACAGTGAGGGTGTACTCTGGGTTTAATAATAAAACACTCAACATGAAAATCGACGGCTTAAAAAACGACTTATAGGAATTTTTTTACATCCAACAGTAGTAATTGAGGAGGTCTCTTTTTGGAAATTCCGATGCTTGAATAATAATAAAGGTTTGTTCCCAAACTGATTTTTATTAGTACATATATTTGTATAGGTCGTGGCCAACMCAATAGTTATGCTAAAAATAATTCAGTAATTGTGAAGGCTATAAATATCATACTTTAAGACCGAGAAATGTGAACGATTTGTAGTGGGTAGTTTGGGGTTTCGTTTGAACGAAAAATATAATAAACCAAAAGCTGAATATTAAAGACTCGTCTTCCTTCTCATAAAATACATCTCATTGTATTCATTGTTTTCAGGCGCATCATCCATGAATAGTAAAGCGACATAAATTACTTCTTCCGTATAACACATGAGTATATAACAATAAGTATTAGCGCGACACTTAACCCGCGGCGAATTCAAACGCATGTTTAGCAAAGCTGACGGTAGGATATCCACCTACACCACCAACGACAAACTAAGGCAACTGCATGGTTTCCATTTCAGATATAACAAACTCTCTTCAATCTTACTGGATCAGAATCAGATACCTGTTGACAATATAAACAATACTAGAGTCACTCATATAAAACCAATATCAAAAAAAAAAAAAAGAAAAAACACTGGAAAAATAACAGTAAATTCATGGTGATCCAGCAATAATCGACTTAATATCGTTTTGCACTAGTATACACATTCTTATATTGGTAATAACATACATCCTACTAATGTTAATTTAATTACGACTGATTCKTCTCCACAATCGGTCATAGTCTACTCGTTATTTCTCCTCCTACAAGCAGCTATTGATGAATTACAACCTGAAGGACGCACTCAGAAACGACTAACTAAACTAAAAAGAAGAAAAAACATATTCAGAACGATGTACTGAAAGCCTACAATATAATGCAAATGCAAGATGCTCGAGAAAATCATTGCTAATGAATAATTAAAATCGTGGAAAAAAATTCTGAATACAAATTAGAAATACTGAATGATTAAAAGATCAAAGCCAGTAGCCCAGTTAAAATTAGTTTGTTACCCGATGACTAACTTACTTCAAACTGAGTTTGATGCAGGATTTGTG